CGTGACGGGGTTGCCCGTGATAACGGCGAAACGGGACGGACAATGGAGGGGCCCCTGCTGCTGCTGCTTCTGTATTTCTTTAGCAGCCAGTTCCAGAAAGATCGGTACCGAGAAGGCGGCAATTGCATCACTGAAACACGGGGTTATTTTATGCACGAGAGGGAGTAATGTAGATCAGTTATTTTTGTAAACTGAAGCACAGTTACGTGAAGAATCATATTTACATACTGCAAAAGACTCTAGAAAAAAGCCTAAGGCAGTATTTTTTTAAATGTTAAGTGCTGGCTTAGAAAAATGCAACTGAAATCTATAAAAGCAGGGGGGGTTGACATTAACAGTTGCTTCAGTGTTGTTGTTTTTTTGTTCTTTTCTTTAAGCAGAGTATCTGTCTTCAAAAGTGGAAAGAGCCCGTCCTACAACGATGAATGCCGACATGGATGGTATAAGTTTTTAATGTTCTTGTTCTTCGTTGTTTTTTCTAATTAATGTAACTTCCAGCTGTTAACAGAGGTTGCATTAAAACTTCTATGATTTATTGCAGCTGTTGAGGCTGAGAATCAGGTGGAATTAGAAGAGAAAACACGGCTTATTAATCAAGTTTTGGAACTGCAGCACACACTTGAAGGTTAGCAGTTTGACAAGTCAGATTTTTTTAAAAGGACACAGTAATAAGAGAAAGAAGCAAACCTTTCTGCTCTGCCCTGTCAAAGTGTCCAGAGGTCTGTCAATTACACAGCTGAAGGCACATAAAAGCAAGGCCCTAAAACAATTCCCTCCGTTTATGCAACATAATGTTTGCTCAGTCGCAAGCAGAAGGGGCCATACGGTTAATTTTCCCAACCTCGTTAGTTGATGTGCGTCTTTGAGTCTGCTCGTCACCGAACTTTTGTTTCCAAATAGCATAGTTTGCAAATAGCTTAATTCAAAACTTCAAGAAAAGAATAAAGATACAGAGTAATGGTAAGTTTGTGTAACGAGTTTGCCAAAACACTGTACTACAAAGTAAGAGAGGAAAAATGGGCTGTAGATAAAACTTGTCAGCAGCACAGTGTTTTAAAAGATAATATCTTATAGCAGTGTTTCCCCACATTAGAAGTCTGAAGAGTTGGATGTAGGCACATCATTATTTTATGCAATAGTGTCTAATATTTTTCTTATAATATCACCTTCACAGATCTCTCAGCACGAGTAGATGCTGTTAAGGAAGAAAACTTGAAACTGAAATCAGAAAACCAAGTTCTTGGACAGTATATAGAAAATCTGATGTCAGCGTCTAGTGTTTTCCAAACAACTGACACAAAAAGCAAAAGGAAGTAAGGGTTGATTCATAGATGATGTCATTGTATTGCTGCTATCTTTTTTTGTTTTAATTGGCATAGGCTACATGAGCTAAAATACCTTAGTTTGTGGCTTTACTGGATACCTAAAGATTATGAACTGTGGTGATAAACAGTTAAAAACATTATCATGAACAGGAGACCTAAGTTTGTGTATTGTTAAGATTAAGCCATGTGCAAATGTAGTGTAGAGACATACTAAACTTTTCTATTTGTTTTAAAAACGAGCATATCTTGGTAAAAATTGGATTCAGTTTGTCAGGTTAAGCAGAGGTCTGTTGGCGCTCTTTGGGGTCTTAGGGTAGTGTTCTTGACTAGCAAAATAATAACAATATTGTGTTGAAACCTCATTTGATAAAAATACTCAAAAGTCTAATTGCCATCGCCTTTTTCACTTAAAATCTATTTAATTACTGTATAGTCCTGTCTGTAGCTCTGCAAAGCAACTTTAAAAAAAAACCCTATAAACCAGTTAAGAATTTCTGTGAAGTAATAACAGTATGGCATTATTTGCAGGGCTTGTGTACAGAAACACAGTTACTTTGGAAAGGATAAGGGAAGAGGAACAATGATAAGCAACTCAGATCAGGGAAATGCCAAACTGGTTGGGTATCAGAGGGGGTAGTTTTTAGGACGTATTTCAAACTATTTTCATTTTCCTGTTTCCTCAAAGAATGATCAGGCACAGAGTCACAATGCATGATCTTCCTGAAGCTTTTCTGTTGTGTGATGAAAGATTAAGTAAGAATCTGAGTAATAAGCTTTAGAGAAACGGGTCAACAATGTTCCTTATGCTTGTTGTGAACAATCTGCATTGAGGAACTGAGAGCAAGTCTTTCTTTGCCCTCTTTTACTTTCTTCCTGAAGTGCCAAACTTCCCTTTGCTTCAGGCCTTAGAGCAACTGTTTTCCTGCCCCAGAGCCTGAACTTGTGAAGTACCTCTTGAGGCACTGCACAAAAGCACCTGAGGCAGAAGACGACAGCAGAACAAAGGTGGCTTTTGCCTCTCTGTGCTGATGTGAGCAATGCTGAGCGTCAAGGTGCCCCGTTTTTTACCAGCTTGATTGTTGATGAGCAGGTTTTGTAAAGGAGCTCAACCCAGATTACGGGTCTGAGCACTTCACCTCGAGGCAGCACATCTAGCATAATCAGTATTAAGGGAGAGCAGAAGCTGAAATACAAGCAACAGTGTAAGCTGAAGCAGTACTCGGCTGCATCTGTTCCATCTTGCCATACAGCAGCATCGCAGACTTACTTACGGATGTTACCTAGAAGTGGGGTCTGTCTCTTCAGCCATTGTACTTTTTAACAAAAGGAAGCCACTAGTTAAATAATATTTTTGAACATTGCTGTGATGAAAAACTGCAGGAACGGAATGAGTGGATTTAATAGCATAACAATTCCCTCGCAGATTCCAAGGTTCTTTGCGGCTAAGCACAGCTGTGTCTCCAGTATAAGCTGACATTGTGAGGTTCCCCCCTCCCAAATGGGAGGTTTCCCATTTCTCCCCATTTAAGATGGCACTACAGCATTCACTGGAGTGTCAGCAAAGTCAAATGATTGAAAACAAAGCACTAACAGGGCTGTTTACTAGTCTGATATGAGAAACATTTTAAGTTTTACTCGATACCATTCGTATCATGGGGTCTTGTAAACGTACAGATTTATTTTCCATCTTCTATGGACTATGCTCTCGCTTTACCACCTGTCTGAAACTTTAAATTCATCCAAGAACTGTTAGCAGGTAGAGTAGATTGCATGCTTAGTCCAGGGTTTGAGCATTAAAACATTTTAAAAAAAAAAAAAATTATCCATCACACCAAGCCCAGAACTCCTAAGGACTGCATCACATTCCAGCCACCCTAGAGCTTAAAGCCATGTCACTGCACTCCTCCATCTGCACTGTAGATCATCAAGTGGTAACAGAGCATGTGCTTCTTAGACTTCAGCAATTTCCCCGAGATCAAGTAATCTTAAAATCATGCATTTGTATTTGTTAAGATTGGATAGTGATATTTTATCAATTGGTGTGTATATAGTAGTCATTTCATCTATATAGCATTATACATCCCACTACCGTGGCCTTCATTTAACTTATGAACATTTTAAACATGTTGTATTTCTGACTTTACACTAAATAAAAACTTTTGATTTGTCTCAGTTTGGTTTCACATTTCTAAACCCGAGTACTTCTCATAACTACCCATAGTCAGAAGGTGGAAAGTAGTAGGGTTTGCCATAACCTTAATTGTTGCTGTATAGATGAAGTGCCTGAAATACTAGATGTATGCCAACTATTAAGGTTAAACATGGGTTAAATTAATGTATTTTTAGCAAACTTGCAGTTCCTGACTCCCTTGATAAGTTTCACCCATGAATCTTATCTTTCTTCTGGTTAAAGGAAAAAGGGGAAAGGATTGGGAGCCTGCATCCAGGGTTGTCCAAGCTAAAATGTGCACCTCTCCATATGAGAGAACTTTAAAACGGGTTAGAAGAGATTTTACCTTTTCCTACACAGGTAAAGAACTCGACATTACCCAGAACCAGAATTATTTCATCATACCATAGGTGGAACTGAGGAATAACTTCAACTGTAATTAAATCTAAAGGCCTAAGTCCTACTTAGCATCCCCTGAATACAGAAAGTTATCACTGGGATTTGTGTCCTCAGCAAGACTACCTGAACATAGCCAGTAGGAGCACAGGCTGCATAGGTCCCATATTCATGGAGTTCCACAGCTGACCAGTAGCTTGAATAGCAAAGCATCCTGCAACTGCATCTTCATTTGGATTTAAGTTTCAAAGCACTTTCAAGCAGCTCTGATAGCACTATCACATATTTCTCCTGAAACACTTATTCAGGAAAAAGTGACTACATACAGGAGCTGCAGGTGAAAATCTCAATGTTGTGTCAGTGGGAGTTTCCCTTTTTTGGTTGTCTGTCTAGATTTAGAGCTTAAAAGCCCCAAAGCTCTGACATTTCTCCGCTAATTGCCAGTGTACTGTTCCATCCCAGTACGCTGATATGCCTGCAGATGGCTTCTATCTCCAGGTTCTAGGTAATCAAAGTCATTAAGCCAGCATTAAAGCAAGATGGGCATTACTCAGCGGTTTGAGCACGGTGCTGGCAAGAAGGACTAACACCGAAGTCGCAGGTTCAATTCCCGCTCGGTCCCTGTGTGTTGCCAGGTCTAGTCAAGAGGTGGCATCACTGCCCAAAACAGGAGGTTGGACGAGATGATCTCTAAGGTCCCTTCCAGCCTAGGCTGTTCTATGATGACTCTATGATTCCAGTGCCAGAGCTATTGCAAACAGCAACCTTGAGTCATGGCCTCACATGACTGTCACCCATAATAAACAGCTCCTTATTTACTGAAGTACAAAGATGTTGATGGGACATTAATCAAGACTTCATGGGGAGTCTTAGTAACTGTATCACACCAAACAAAAACAAAAAAGCAAACCAAAACCCAATCCAAAACCACACTCAAACACTGGAACAATTTCAAAGGATTTTCATCAGGCTTGGACAAGATTCATTCAGAAGGGGTGCTGAAATGCTCCCTGACAGCTGTTACAGTATCCCATTGGTAACAACTTCTGTCTATTGCTCAAAATCTCACAGGCAGGCGGGGAAATCCAGAGTCTTCTTACCTTTTGCATGTAGACCCTAAATAAATGTAAGTTCCCTCCTTTTTGAACTTAAAAACCCAGACCCCCCCAAAACCCTAAAAACCTAGAGGCCTTTCACACAGGAGTCCAATATAATTAACTCTGAAGCACTTCAACACAAGCAACTTGAAGATGCTGATTTCTTCATTAAGGTTTAGGTCTTCATTTATTAGACTTCCATTTTCTGCGAAAATATTTCTTTAAGTGAACTTGGCAGGCACAAGCAGATCTGTTAAGCTCCTTATGAATTAATCTATTTAGACTTAGTTTTAATGTATGACTGGTTTTGCTAGCATTTTACATCCTCCTACTATAGGCAGCTGCCAAGCAGCAAGATGTTCCTGCAATTTTATTGTGTTTTAATATACAGCTGAACTTCCACAAAGAGTTTCTTTTACAATATGCAGTTTTATTTAAATTATGAGAATGCCCAGTTACTCACATCTGTAAAAAACAATCCATCAAAAATTATCTATATTAATAAATTTCATGTTAAACAAGAATTAAATATTTTTAGGAGGCAATGTACACTTAAGTATTCTATAAACAAGTTATACGACTCTGGCTTGGAACATGAGAACTATAAAAGTTGGAAAACAAAAAAAATCATCTGTATATCACTGCTGCAGATTTGATGTCTGCATTCAAAAGTAGAACACATCACATCAACTACCACTTCAAGTATTCTATTTTAAAATATCTTTTAAAAATAAATTACTGTAACCAATGTCTAAAACAAAGAGGTGACCACCCATGTAACAAGTTCAACTAAAATAAATAATTTACAGTAATTGTTGCTAGCACTAAATAATACAAAAACAATTATTGCATTTAGCTCTGCACAGAAAAAAAAAACCTTTTCTTCACAGCAATATGAACTTTGAATAGATGCTACATCTATACTATCATCCATTTAGCTGAAAAGTATCAACAGCTAATTTTGTGCCAGAGCTGCAAAAATATTTTAATTTAATTTTAAAAATATTTAGAGTAATTTTATCTCCAACTAATACTAATTTCTAAGAATCTTCAAAATCATAAGAATCTTCACCTTAAAAAGCAGCCAGTCAACTTGTAATCTCACTGTTATTCTGAATTCTAAATATCAGTTAACTCCTCACAGATAGTATTTCTCCTTAAAAAAGGGAGTCAAGGAAGTTTGGGAAGGTTAGAAGAAGTTAGAGAAGTAAAATAGGTTAAGTCGCAATGAGTCCCCCTTTTTTCCTCCAAATCTCAGGATCTGGCATGCTGTCAGGCCCACTGCAGTAGCATACCAAAAGTTACTACTATTTAGACCTGCAAATCTTCACTGGAATTAACCTAGTCCTTTCGTACTCTTCTTTTGCGCACTGATTTCAGTGGACCATCTCCAGAACTTGTGCTTTCATCAGCTTCTTTCATCTGGGGGGAATTAAAAAAAAAAAAAGATTGTAAACCACTTAGTTTATTTACAGAACCTGTCATGCTACTTCAGTCCTCCCGATTCCCCCAACCATATTATCACTAATTGCACCACAGAA